GCAACAACCAACAGACAGACAATCAACTATGGTGCAACAACCAACAGACAGACAATCAACTATGGTGCAACAACCAACAGACAGACAATCAACTATGGTGCAACAACCAACAGACAGACAATCAACTGTGGAGCAACAACCAACAGACAGACAATCAACTATGGTGTAACAACCAACAGACAGACAATCAACTGTGGTGCAACAACCAACAGACAGACAATCAACTGTGGAGCAACAACCAACAGACAGACAATCAACTATGGTGCAACAACCAACAGACAGACAATCAACTGTGGTGCAACAACCAACAGACAGACAATCAACTGTGGAGCAACAACCAACAGACAGACAATCAACTGTGGTGCAACAACCAACAGACAGACAATCAACTATGGTGCAACAACCAACAGACAGACAATCAACTGTGGAGCAACAACCAACAGACAGACAATCAACTATGGTGTAACAACCAACAGACAGACAATCAACTGTGGTGCAACAACCAACAGACAGACAATCAACTGTGGAGCAACAGCCAACAGACAGACAATCAACTGTGGAGCAACAACCAACAGACAGACAATCAACTGTGGAGCAACAACCAACAGACAGACAATCAACTATGGTGCAACAACCAACAGACAGACAATCAACTATGGTGCAACAACCAACAGACAGACAATAAACTGTGGAGCAACAACCAACAGACAGACAATCAACTATGGAGCAACAACCAACAGACAGACAATCAACTGTGGAGCAACAACCAACAGACAGACAATCAACTGTGGTGCAACACCCAACAGACAGACAATTAACTGTGGAGCAACAACCAACAGACAGACAATCAACTGTGGTGCAACAACCAACAGACAGACAACCAACTTTGGAGCAACAACCAACAGACAGACAATAAACTGTGGAGCAACAACCAACAGACAGACAATCAACTATGGTGCAACAACCAACAGACAGACAATCAACTATGGTGCAACAACCAACAGACAGACAATCAACTATGGAGCAACAACCAACAGACAGACAATCAACTATGGTGCAACAACCAACAGACAGACAATCAACTGTGGTGCAACAACCAACAGACAGACAATCAACTATGGAGCAACAACCAACAGACAGACAATCAACTATGGAGCAACAACCAACAGACAGACAATCAACTATGGAGCAACAACCAACAGACAGACAATCAACTATGGAGCAACAACCAACAGACAGACAATCAACTGTGGAGCAACAACCAACAGACAGACAATCAACTATGGAGCAACAACCAACAGACAGACAATCAACTATGGTGCAACAACCAACAGACAGACAATCAACTGTGGTGCAACAACCAACAGACAGACAATCAACTATGGAGCAACAACCAACAGACAGACAATCAACTATGGTGCAACAACCAACAGACAGACAATCAACTATGGTGCAACAACCAACAGACAGACAATTAACTATGGAGCAACAACCAACAGACAGACAATTAACTGTGGAGCAACACCCAACAGACAGACAATCAACTATGGTGCAACAACCAACAGACAGACAATCAACTATGGAGCAACAACCAACAGACAGACAATCAACTATGGTGCAACAACCAACAGACAGACAATCAACTATGGAGCAACAACCAACAGACAGACAATCAACTATGGTGCAACAACCAACAGACAGACAATCAACTATGGAGCAACAACCAACAGACAGACAATCAACTATGGTGCAACAACCAACAGACAGACAATCAACTATGGAGCAACAACCAACAGACAGACAATCAACTATGGTGCAACAACCAACAGACAGACAATCAACTATGGAGCAACAACCAACAGACAGACAATCAACTATGGTGCAACAACCAACAGACAGACAATCAACTATGGTGCAACAACCAACAGACAGACAATCAACTATGGTGCAACAACCAACAGACAGACAATCAACTATGGAGCAACAACCAACACACAGACAATCAACTATGGTGCAACAACCAACAGACAGACAATCAACTATGGAGCAACAACCAACAGACAGACAATCAACTATGGTGCAACAACCAACAGACAGACAATCAACTGTGGAGCAACAACCAACAGACAGACAATCAACTGTGGAGCAACAACCAACAGACAGACAATCAACTGTGGTGCAACAACCTACAGACAGACAATCAACTATGGAGCAACAACCAACAGACAGACAATCAACTATGGAGCAACAACCAACAGACAGACAATCAACTCTGGTGCAACAACCAACAGACAGACAATCAACTGTGGTGCAACAACCAACAGACAGACAATCAACTATGGAGCAACAACCAACAGACAGACAATCAACTATGGAGCAACAACCAACAGACAGACAATCAACTATGGAGCAACAACCAACAGACAGACAATCAACTGTGGTGCAACAACCAACAGACAGACAATCAACTATGGTGCAACAACCAACAGACAGACAATCAACTGTGGAGCAACAACCAACAGACAGACAATCAACTGTGGTGCAACAACCAACAGACAGACAATCAACTGTGGAGCAACAACCAACAGACAGACAATTAACTGTGGAGCAACAACCAACAGACAGACAATCAACTGTGGAGCAACAACCAACAGACAGACAATTAACTGTGGAGCAACAACCAACAGGCAGAAAATCAACTATGGTGCAACAACCAACAGACAAACAATCAACTGTGGTGCAACAAACAGACAGACAGACAGACAATCTGGTCACACGTGATTCCAGAGCATATATTTACAAGTATTAACTTGTTTGTAAGATAAGTAAGCAGACGTTTGAATACAAAGTATTTATCACATTAAGATAGCTGTAAAGTGACTACATGAAAAGGACAGACTAAAATGTGACCTAGTTCAGAATATGTCAGTCTAAAGTAAATTTGCTGCCATTTTAATTTCAGCTAAAGTAGGTCACTAAGACCTGGTCTTCTTCACCTCTTCTTTTACCATTTTGAGTGTCAAAGATTAACTTCTCAATTCAGATAATGTTCAGTTATGCTGCTTTTGTCTTATTGCATGTGCAGAGTTAGCTCAACAACGAAAGAAATTAGTGCATGACCAGAATCTTGGTTTGGAAGCCTAAATATGTTTTAAAAGTCACTGGCTTAGAAAGAATGCAACTGAAAGTCCAAGAGGTGACATGTTCAATTTCTGTGAGCTCCGGTGGAAAGTCCATGAGGTGACATGTTCATTTCTGCAAGCTCCGGTGGAAAGTCCAAGAGGTGACATGTTCATTTCTGCGAGCTCTTGTGGAAAGTCCAAGAGGTGACATGTTCATTTCTGTGAGCTCTTGTGGAAAGTCCAAGAGGTGACATGTTCATTTCTGTGAGCTCTGGTGGAAAGTCCAAGAGGTGACATGTTCATTTCTGTGAGCTCCGGTGGAAAGTCCATGAGGTGACATGTTCATTTCTGCGAGCTCCGGTGGAAAGTCCAAGAGGTGACATGTTCATTTCTGCGAGCTCTTGTGGAAAGTCCAAGAGGTGACATGTTCATTTCTGTGAGCTCTTGTGGAAAGTCCAAGAGGTGACATGTTCATTTCTGTGAGCTCCGGTGGAAAGTCCAAGAGGTGACATGTTCATTTCTGTGAGCTCTGGTGGAAAGTCCAAGAGGTGACATGATCATTTCTGTGAGCTCCGGTGGAAAGTCCATGAGGTGACATGTTCATTTCTGTAAGCTCCGGTGGAAAGTCCAAGAGGTAACATGTTCATTTCTGTGAGCTCCGGTGGAAAGTCCAAGAAGTGACATGTTCATTTCTCCGAGCTCCGGTGGAAAGTCCAAGAGGTGACATGTTCATTTCTGTGAGCTCTTGTGGAAAGTGCAAGAGGTGACATGTTCATTTCTGTGAGCTCTTGTGGAAAGTCCAAGAGATGACATGTTCATTTCTGTGAGCTCTTGTGGAAAGTCCAAGAGGTGACATGTTCATTTCTCTGAGCTCCGGTGGAAAGTCCAAGAGGTGACATGTTCATTTCTGTGAGCTCTGGTGGAAAGTCCAAGAGGTGACATGGTCATTTCTCCGAGCTCCGGTGGAAAGTCCATGTTGGTCACCTGAGCCTGGTCTTTAGACCTAGTCCAGGACTTGACTGTTGCATGCATAGCAGTTTCACACACAGAATTGGTTAAATATATACAGACTGCTGGTTTCTCACTTCTCAGGCAAATGTGTTCTGACTTTCAACCACAAATATGTTAGCCAGCCTTTGATAGGGAGCTGGCTGATAAGATGAGCACACAGGGACGAAGGTAGGTCTTGATTAGTGCTAAACCCTGGTCCTGCTCTAACACCGCAGATGGAAATTCTCCTCCGCATGTAAGATGTGTTAGGTATCACAATTAACTCCTAAACTTCCAGGGTCACTTCATGGTGGCTGTTTCAGGTTTTTTACTTCCAGGGTCATTTCAAGGTGGCTGTTTCATGTTTTTTACTTTCAGGGTCATTTCATGGTGGCTGTTTCATGTTTTTTACTTTCAGGGTCATTTCATGGTGGCTGTTTCATGTTTTTTACTTTCAGGGTCATTTCAAGGTGGCTGTTTCAGGCTTGGTCAACTAGATAAATATACATCTCTGCCTCAATGGACATCTGAAGACAACAGTCACTGAACATAAGTCTGTGCACCATAATACATTATTACAGCTAATGGAAATTATGTGGTGCACCACCACACAGTATTTCAGCTAATGCATTTTATGTGATGCTTATTTCTGAGAACAATCAATAATGACATAGTGAACATGGCATGTAACCTAGGACAGAGGAGAACAGACTAAGCAAGACCAGAAGTGGAAATAACAAACAAGACCTGTAAATTGTCTTGATGTCTCAGACTAGCAAGAAAGACATTAATAGGCAAACAGTGATAAGAAAAACAGCTGCAAAACACATCATGAGAAGACAAATGAAAACATCAGGTAAGAAGCTGGCAAATAAATGGTGCACCTACATGGTAGCTGCCTTTGACAATCATCTCATAGAGTCTCTCCTTGGTGCCACAGAAGGGAGGGTAGCCCCCAAGGAGAATGAACAGCAGCACACCACAGCCCCACATGTCCACTGGCTTGCCATAGGGCCTTCGTTCTATCACCTCCGGGGCCATGTATTGCGGGGTGCCCACACGACCTGGGATGTGATATGATCACAAATGTGAATAAATATGGTGAGTCACAAACATGCACACAGTTGAGTCACAAGCTTGACTTTCATTATAAAACATCCCCCACAAGTTAAATACCTTTGTCAGTCGCTAGCAATCTAACATACAGTTAAAGAAACTGGTTATTACTTATGTACCACTCACAACCTTCCATTAACAAACATTCCTTCCAACCTGTCATTATTTTCTACTCCCATCTATTAACAAACAGTTCTACAAGCTATCAGTTCTTCTAGCAACAGCCAAACAGTTCTACAAGCTACCAGTTGTTCTAGCAACAGCCAAACAGTTTTTCTAGCAACAGCCAAACAGTTCTACAAGCAAGAAACAGCCAAACAGTTAACAGTTCTACAAGCTACCAGTTGTTCTAGCAACAGCCAAACAGTTCTACAAGCTACCAGTTGTTCTAGCAACAGCCAAACAGTTAACAGTTCTACAAGCTACCAGTTTTTCTAGCAACAGCCAAACAGTTCTACAAGCTACCAGTTTTTCTAGCAACAGCCAAACAGTTCCAGAGACACTACTTTCACACAACAGTACCAAGATGTACATAACCAAACCCAGTAAATCATCAAAAATCAGAAACAGCCCATTACTATAAGGCAGATTTGTCATGATACGCTCGGTGACTTCAGAATATGTCTTTCCTCAACCTACTTTTATTTCTATGTATTTTGAAGTATACAGAAAAATAGGGATTTTGATACCTCCTTAATCTAAGTAATTCTCCTGGACTGTAGGTGATATCAAACACTGAGACTCTTTCCCAGATGTAAAGTGTTATGGTACAGAGATAAGACTGACCAAGCTCAGACTTCTTGGCTGGAGATTTTGCTTGCAGAACTGAAGTGTCAGATATTTATCTCCTAGCCAGACATTTAGGAGCAGATAACCCAGGCTAATTGCAAATATCTCCCCCTGAAGTTACCTAACTTGAGTGCAGGTCAGACGGCCAGTATTGATAAAGGTGATGGCAGGTTGAAGTAGGGGGAGGTGTGACTTTGTTTATTAGCTCTGGTCAGCTTGATGGACCAGGAGAATGTAGCTGTGGGAACGCTAACAAGTGTTGTACAGTCTTGACTGACAGTTAATAGAATTACCCACAGGGTGGGGCTGTGACATCCTTGAATGAGAGTGGTTTTAGGAGTAATGTGGGAGGAGCTTAGAAGAAGTTATAAAAGGGTGAACTTTAGGGCTGGGAAGTGAGACTCTGCCAAGAGCACACTATCTGTTGGGCTTAAAACCTAAGCTTGAGACAGAACTTTTGGCATTGTGTTTTCATTTTCCAGGTAAGCGTTTTCTTGGCTATCCAGGACTGTCTAGGATATCAACATAGCCTAGATATTAGTCCATTTTCTCGCGTGGGTGGGCACGGGTAGGATTCAAACCCACACACTCACTATATAAGTGTATTTACCCACGTGGGCTCACGACAAGATTGTTAAAAAATTGTCTGGCTCCATTTTCTACAGACCCACTGGCCATCAATGGATACACGGCTAATCTTATGTTGGAAGCCTTTACTGAGCTGAACATTTCATGGTATACTTATGTAGGTTGTCTTCATCTCATGATGGTCTTGTTGGAAATTCAAACTTTGTGGCCCTCAAATCATTTGGTTGGCCAGTCAAAGTAGATTCTTCAATGAACAGGCAGGTTGAGCATTGTAAAGTTAACTCTTCAATAAACAGGCAGGTTGGACATTGTAAAGTACATTATCTGATGAACAGGCAGGTTGGACATCGTAAAGTAGATTATCCAATGAACAGACAGGTTGGACATTGTAAAGTAGATTTGGCAATGAATAGGCAGGTTGGAAATTGAAAAGTAGATTCTTCAATGAACAGGCAGATAGGACATTGTGAACTAGATTCTCGAACAGGCAGGTAGGACATTGTAAAGTAGATTCTTCAATGAACAGGCAGGTAGGACATTGTAAAGTAGATTTTTCAATGAACAGCCAGGTTGGACAGACAGACAAGATAGACGGGCAGACATAAGAGAGTGGGAGATAAAGATAGGGAGAAAGAGAGACAGCGAGGGGGCACAAGGAATGTGAGGAGGGGAGAGACAAGTAGAGAGGCAGAGAATATTTAGAAAGAAAGAGGTTTTTACCTTCACATTTTTAAAGAAATAAAATTAACTCCTCTAATCTCTCCTTCCTAGAAGAAGGAAAACACTGACACTCTGCATGGTATGATAACAGAGGAGAACTGGCTCACACACAGCACTCTGTCCTGGAAGATGAGGTATTATGGCCATGTTACATGTCACGGCAGCCTGGAGAGAATTGTGATGGAGGGTAGTTTCTAGGAAAGGAGGTCAAGGCAGACCTTTGTAAAGTTGAATACAAGACACTGAAGATGCAGTGGCTATGAAAGCACACAGGGCTGGAGAACTGGCTACAGAAAGAGACTTTCAGGCGTGCAGAGGCGACAGCAAGGATCTGTCAAGGATCTGCTGATTGATGATGAATCCCCTCTCTAATCCTGACTATAACATCTGCAGAAGAACAGCCAATGATTACTTCAGCTTCAGCCAACAGTCTGTCCCACCTGAGGTAATGTACTGTCCGTCTGCCAGCTGAGTGGCTACCCCAAATCCTCCGAGTTTAACTGGTGCAGAGTTCTCTGTGGATGCCAGAAGGATGCAGTGGGGCTTGAGGTCCCGATGGATGATATTGTTGGAGTGGCAGTAGCGCAGAGCCTCCAAGACTTGCCTCATGTAGTGGCTGATGGAGGCAGAGACATTGAGAAGCATGAGCCATGAAAGGTTACAGGTTATGGTGGGATAAAATAGTCAATCAAATAGCTAGATGGCTGTCATCAGACAGTGTGCCCCTCCCATCATCAGACAGTGTGCCCCTCCCATCATCAGATAGTGTGCCCCTCCCACCATCAGACAGTGTGCCCCTCCCACCATCAGACAGTGTGCCCCTCCCACCATCAGACAGTGTGCCCCTCCCACCATCAGACAGTGTGCCCCTCCCACCATCAGACAGAGCGTTCTCCCACCATCAGATAGTGTGCCCCTCCCACCATCAGACAGAGCGTTCTCCCACCATCAGACAGTGTGCCCCTCCCACCATCAGACAGTGTGCCCCTCCCATCATCAGACAGTGTGCCCCTCCCACCATCAGACAGTGTGCCCCTCCCACCATCAGACAGTGTTCCCCTCCCACCATCAGACAGTGTGCCCCTCCCACCATCAGACAGTGTGCCCCTCCCATCATCAGACAGAGCGTTCTCCCACCATCAGACAGTGTGCCCCTCCCATCATCAGACAGAGCGTTCTCCCACCATCAGACAGTGTGCCCCTCCCATCATCAGACAGAGCGTTCTCCCACCATCAGACAGTGTGCCCCTCCCATCATCAGACAGAGCGTTCTCCCACCATCAGACAGTGTGCCCCTCCCATCATCAGACAGAGCGTTCTCCCACCATCAGACAGTGTGCCCCTCCCACCATCAGACAGTGTGCCCCTCCCACCATCAGACAGTGTGCCCCTCCCACCATCAGATAGTGTGCCCCTCCCACCATCAGACAGTGTGCCCCTCCCACCATCAGACAGTGTGCCCCTCCCACCTTGCAGTCTTCAAATGCATTTGTAAATGGTTACACAATATGCATCTCAAAAAACTGGAAGAGTTTGGTTAAACTGCAAGATAGTAGATGATATCTCTGGTTACATCTCAGAATAGAAGATGTCTGATTTCATCACACAGTAGATGTGTGGTTACATAGTTACTTCACACAGTGGAAGATGTCTAGTTTCATCACACAGTAGATATCTGGTTACATGGTTACTTCACACAGTGGAAGATGTCTGGTTACAGTAACACAAAGTGGAGGATGCCTGGTTTCATCACACAGCAGATGTCTGGTTACATGGTTACTTCACAGAGTGGAAGGTGTCTGGGTGCATAGTGGAAGATGTCTAGTTACATCACATAGTGGACGACATCTGGTTACATGGTTACTTCACAGAGTGGAAGGTGTCTGGGTGCATCACATAGTGGAAGATGTCTAGTTACATCACATAGTGGAAGATGTCTAGTTACATCACATAGTGGAAGATGTCTAGTTACATCACATAGTGGAAGATGTCTAGTTACATCACATAGTGGAAGATGTCTAGTTACATCACATAGTGGACGACATCTGGTTACATGGTTACTTCACAGAGTGGAAGGTGTCTGGGTGCATCACATAGTGGAAGATGTCTAGTTACATCACATAGTGGAAGATGTCTAGTTACATCACATAGTGGAAGATGTCTAGTTACATCACATAGTGGACGACATCTGGTTACATGGTTACTTCACACAGTGGAAGATGTCTAGTTACATCACATAGTGGAAGATGTCTAGTTCCATCACATAGTGGAAGATGTCTAGTTACATCACATAGTGGACGACATCTGGTTACATGGTTACTTCACAGAGTGGAAGGTGTCTGGGTGCATCACATAGTGGAAGATGTCTAGTTACATCACATAGTGGAAGATGTCTAGTGGTTACATGGTTACTTCACACAGTGGAAGATGTCTAGTTACATCACATAGTGGAAGATGTCTAGTTACATCACATAGTGGAAGATGTCTAGTTACATCACATAGTGGAAGACATCTGGTTACATGGTTACTTCACATAGTGGAAGGTGCCTGGGTGCATCACATAGTGGAAGATGTCTAGTTACATCACATAGTGGAAGATGTCTAGTTACATCACATAGTGGAAGATGTATAGTTACATTACATAGTGGTAAATGTCTGGGTACATCAGAGAATGAAAGATAACTGTTTAGATCACACAGTGGAAGACATCTGGTTACATCACAGTGTGGAAGATGTCTGGTTGCAGCACTTAGTGGAAGACGTCTGAGTAATAATGAACCTATACAAACTTTTCATTTTTTGTTTGTTTAAATGCGTACACGTTTAACATATAAGTTAGTGGTGAGAGAGA